TGATGGTTTTTTGAATTATTTTTGCGATTTATTTGTTTACTTAGTGTTTTGGGATCTACGGGAAAGAGTTTTTTTTTTATTATATTATTTTTTTATTTAACTTATTACCATTTTATGATTGAATTTCAAAAAAGAATTCATAAAGGGTGGAAATATTATAGAGATTTTTTTAATTGGGTGGAACTTTTTGCATTTTTTTTTACCATTTAGTATTTCTATTTATATATTAACTCACTATACTTTTGAGAATGGATTTAAATATGCCGAAAGCAGCCTGCTCATATCATTTTTAATTTTTATAAGTATTTTAGATATTTGGTATAAACTTGTAAGTATAAATTTATTTTTATTTCTTATTTACTATGATGTATATAAATTATTTGTTTCTACTATTACATTATTTTTTATAGTTTTTTTTTTCTTGTTTTAACTTTAGATTCTATTGCTATGTATTATTCCAGGTATTGTATAAATACGCACTAATTATCGTTTAAAATTTCTCAAGTATAACGCATAAGTTATATTGTTTGCATATTACTTAGGTTTCGCGCATTATCTAAATATACTTTACAACATTATTACCAAAATACTGTTATTTTTACTATTTTTTGCTTTAACCATAATTGCAATAGTTAGGCTCTATTTTAATCACTGTTATTGCATTATTATTCATAATATTATATATTATATTCACATTTAATTTACGTATTTTCTTTTTTAGGGGCATGCATTGTAAGTTTATTATTTGAGAATACTTGATTTTTAGAATTTGTACTAATTTATATCATGTATTCAAATTTATTTTACTTGGCTACGCATCATATATTGGGCTAAGTCAATCTCTACAACTTATGGGATTTCTAATAGTAGCAAAGTAGTCTATACTATAACTGGAGAAGAACTAGATAATTCATTTTCAAACCTTTTTAGTGCGATAATTGCTGCATATAATTGGAATTCAAATTTATTTGATACGTGGGGATTTTGGTCTCTCATCATAATTGGTGTGGTTGGTAATATAGGTTTTATTATCATACTACAAAATGTTATTATTTCATTTATAAGGTACGTTTAAGTAATATATTATTTCTTAATTACTATACTTTGTAATAATAATAATACTTCTAAATTCATTAAAAGTGCGTCTTTTGAGAATGCTGATAAAAATGGAAAACGTGCCATTCTCAGCTTTCAAAGTAGATTGATTTATGATTATGCAAATCTTGAAGGTTCTGCTTTTACTTCAAAAAAGAGTGAATTTGTTTCCAAGGCTAAAGATAAGTTTAGGGTGAAGTATATATGTTTTTTAATGAGCTATCAATTACAAAAGTTTGAAAAGATAAATGTAAAGCTTGGGAATCAACTCCAATGTATTTGGATGCTGAAAGTCAAATACATACCGAACATGATAACAAATTTTTTATTGATGATGATAATATGAAATCTATTTTGGCTTCAGACAATGATAATAAGGTTACATAGAGTTGATTTTTCATTCTGGTTTTCAAAATCTTGATTGGCGGATAGATTTTTTTAATATACTGCAAATTTATACCTATGTTCATATCTAAGTAGCATGGAATCAAAAAATTTGGCAGCAATTAATTTTTTCTATCAGTCTTATTGGATAATTTCATGGATGAATTTATGGGAAAAATAAATAGCAAAAATAGAATAATTGGCACAAAAAAAAAAAAAATTAAAAAAATTGGTTTGGAGTATCATGTGAATATGCAAAGCGAAAAATTAACCTTGCATGCCTAAAACAATATTCTAGTAGCTAGCATTAGTAATATTCATTTTTATAAATTATTAAGTTTAGTAAATTGTTCATTTGGTTCTTTGAGCAGTTATTTATTTTATAATCTGGTTACTATATTAAGATCGCAGGGCATAAATCAGTTATACTATGAGCACTATGTGTATAAGCAGGAATTTCATCCATGCTTATACCCAACTGCTCAAGATATAACTATTACTTATTTGGAGGAACCAGGATAATACACAACTAATCTTTCACCTGGTGTTTAGAGCCATAAACTGATTATTTTTTTTTATTTTATTTTTTTTAATATTGAGGTGACCACTTAGGCCCCTGGCACTTTATTAGTTCAAACGGGTGGGCTGTCCGAAG